TGCGTATTTTGTTCTTTGTAACTTATTGTTAAGCAATCACGTTTATTTTTGAAGGATATAAGCTGGAAGAAAGCTGTAGATTTTTAAAACGTGGATTTATCTTACTTTTTACTCCGAAGAATGACTTGCACTGTATATTTTAACGAAACCACACCATTCTTAGCACTTAATAACATGTCACATTATCTCTGAGTGAAGTACAAGATGCTGTTCTTAAGAAACGCAATATAATCAAACAAGGTTCTTTCTTGTGACTGAAAATAAAAAACTGAATTTGACTCCAAGACAGCATTCCCACTGCCTCCCTCTCAGCTTTTAGTGTAATATTCACGAATCAACTAGTATGTACCATTGACATAACAAAACCAAAAAGGTGAATAAACTCAATTGCTCTGATAGACTTGTTCCTTCACAAGAGCTACTAAATATTAGCAGAAACAAGTCTGTCCACAGGCTAAAAAGTAGCATTACCAGTTGAAATGTCCTCTAAATTCCCTAGTCAATTCCTGATAATCAATGAAATAATGAGAGAATATAATCCAAATGCTTCTGGTGCTTCATAATTACCAAATTGGTAGTTTTAAATTGTCCATATTAAATTGGATAGCCATCAAAAAACACATGCAAAACAGGGCATGAATGCTCTATTGGTCAGTAAGAGTTACCTTGCCACAAATTGAAAGTATTTCCTGTTGGAAGTTGTGCATAACAAAACTGTGTATCTATTTTGTAAAAATAGCAACATGAAATTATGACAAATATCTCACTGGCTGTTCTTGAGAATGAAACTATTTATATTCAGGAAGGAAGGGATCAGATATGGCATCGTCACAAACAGAGGGAGTTCCTGATTTTATGTCTCCGATAGCGGTGCCTCGAGCAAAGGTCAGGTCTGGCAGGAGCATATGGGCTCCATGTGGCTGGTCTCAAAGCACGGTGGCTGCTTGGACTCTGCATGCATTCCTGGGGACTAAGTCTGGGACAGGTCCTCAAAATCTTTGCAGAGGGATAACCTCATTCCCCTCACAAAACAGTGAGGTAAGTAAAGTATTCTTTGGGAAAAATAATATGGGAGAAGTTCCCCACTGAGTTAATTTTCCTTAGTCTCTGTAGGTGGGTTTTATTGTAGGAAGGCACATTCTGGCCCTTTGTATAATTTTGTGGAAAGGTGGTACCACAAACTTCTGCTGTGATTGCTCAGCCACAAAGCTAAACTCTAGTCCTTTCACTAGCCTGTGTTTTAGGGACAACAACACACCTGACAATTTCAGCCCTAATGAAGACAGACATCCTTCAGATAAGAAAATGTCACATATATGCAGATCAGTGGAGTCCTAGATAAATGCTAGTGCGAGTCAACACTTTCATCCTTGGCTTTATGATGCTTATAACATTAATAATATAATTACAGGAGAGACAGGTGGCAAAAGCTGTTATTAAGGTTGTCTGACCTTTCTCATACTCAAGGAAGGCAGCTGCTGAGCCCTGCAGCTGGTTGACAGTCCCTCCCAGTAACTAGAGGTGTGTTGAGCCTGACCAAGCTAAGGAGGAGTGGCCATTTCTCCCATGAGTGGACATTCAAGTTGGTGATGTATGCTTGAGCGGCCTAAATTATATTTTTTTTCCATTCTCTCTCAGTCTTCCTCCAACTCTTTTTTGTTCTGCAAAGTTATGTAAATAAATTGTGAGTAAATTCAGGGTTTTCACCCTCCAGGCTAAGCAGTAGGATTATGGTAGGAATGCAAGGTGAGTTGTCTTCTTGCGTTTTTTTGTTTACTGTTTAAAGAGTGCTGACGTAAATGTGACTTACATTTCAACAAGTTATGAAAACATACTTTTTTCTACACTGTACCTCCAACAAATGATTGTAGACAAGCAGACACAGGCAAATAGCAGGCTATGTGCATGTCAGCTGGTCTTGTTGATGCTGCTATGAGAATGAACTTCTGTCCAACCACAGTACTAGCCTGTGGTGTTAATTTGTTATTCCACGCCTCTCTCCACATTGACTTCTCAGCATGGAGAAATTCACACAAACATGCAAACACTGGAGTAACTTTGTCTTCAGATCTTTCCTCAAATGTCCTTTGCAATGGTGCCCACCAAAAATTTAACAACAGCTGAGCTGCCGCTGAGCTGAGATTACAGTTTATCTCACTGACCTGCGCAGTTTCCTTGAACTCCCCTGGCACTGTAGTCCTTTGTTTCTTGTTTTAGGCTTAGATTGTAAGTTATCTGCCATGTGGATGACCTTTTTCTCTCTTAGCTTAGTGTCTGATGCAGTAACACTTTTGTCTGTAAGTAGAGCTCCTGTATGCTTATAACAATAATAATGAATATCAGAGAATCACAGAATAACCAGAGTTGGAAGGGACCCTTGAGGATCATCTAGTCCAACTCCTGGCCCTGCACAGGACATCCCCAATAATCACACCATGTGCCTGAGAGCACTGTCCAAATGACTCTTGAACTCTGTCAGGCTTGGGGCTGTGACAGCTTCCCTGAGGAGCTGGTCCAGTGCCCAGCCACCCTCTGGGTGAAGACCTATTTTCTAATATCCAGCCTAACCCTCCCGTGATGCAACTTCAGACCATTCCCTTGGCTCCTGTCACTGGTTGCCAGAGAGAAGGGATCAGTGCCTGCCCCTCCACTTCCATTAGTGAGGAAGATGTATACAGCAATGAGGTCTCCCCCCTTCTTTGAGCTGAACAAACCAAGTGACCTTAGCTGCTCTTCGTATAGCTTCCCCTCAAGGCCCTTCACCATCTTTGCTGCCGCCTTTGGACACTCTCCAGTAACCTAACATCTCTCATATTGTGGTGCCCAAAACTGCACCCAGTATTCAAGGTGAGGCCAGACCAGCAGAATAGAGCAGGACAATCAGCTCCCTCAACTGGCACAATTTTTAGATCTTCAATACCAGCATGTTTATGTGCAAGAAGTTCTCATGTGTATATTTATTTATTTATTTATTTATT